GACAAGGTCAACAAGGAGCCGCCGCCGGAGCCCGAGCACAAGCGCGTGCTGGCGCCGCCCAAAGAGGTCGTGTGTGCCGCCGCACCGAGCATCCAGCGGCCGTGGGCGAACATGCGTGGCTTGGCCGTCACGTACGTTCCGCCATCTCGGGTCTGAACTCGGAGTGGGCGCGCGGGCGGATGATAGCGATGCCAGTGCTGGGCTATGCGGGGCTTCCGTTCAAGTTGCTGGTGCGCACGGATTGGCGCGGACATGGTGGCAGGGATTTTCGGGTGGCGGATCGGTTGTCGTTCTGGGTCGTCTAGCAGTGCGTGAGCGCGTGGCGGTAGAGGCAGATGCGGTCTCGAGCGGCGAGGGCACAAGAGCAGATCCGCGTTGTTCTACGTTCCAAGCAGACGTCGGTCAATCCGACTGTTTGGCGGGTGGTCTCCCAACTGACTGGTGGTCAGGCATGCTTGGAAGATCCGATTTGACCGTCGCTCGTGGACATGCGTGTGCATCCAAACTTCTTGAATGTCTACGGGGCTTCCCGCGGATGGGCGATTCACGGTGGCAGATCCCTTACGCCGAAGGCGCCTTGGTTTTTCAATGCCATGTGTTCGCCGTAGCATGCACGGCCGAAATGGATTGCCCAGCCACATCTCCAGCTGTTAAGTCTCATGATTCGCACTTCCGAGCAAGAATGCTGGCGTCACTTGAAGCGTTGCATCGCATCAGTATCGTCCCACCGTCCACGGCAGCTCTCGTGCCTTCCCGCCGCGACCCGCTACTTGACAGACCGGCAGGACGCGAGGCGAAACAGAGAAGTCCAGAGCGAATACACATAGCATTGCTGATGATACGAACAACATACGCGAGCACAGAAGACACGGGAACAGACAGGGACAGACGGGATCACATCATACGGAAGGTGGCGAGAGCGGGACAGACGCAGACATAGAACGAAACACGACAATCGGCTTGAAGAAATTCAAGAAGTACTGAAATAGGAGGAGCATGCAAATAATAGACAGATAATCGTAACCACGCTATTATAACCAAAGGAAGGCATCTTGGGACGCCGCGGTCGGAAGTAAATACTGGCTGTAAATGATGAAAGGAAGCTGGAAAAAGATAGGTGGACGTTCCGCGAAGCATCAGCATCGCCTGGGGAAGACAGTCGTGGCAGGTAGGGGCCAGTGTCCTCGCTCCGCTTCGCAGTCTGAGTCCAAGGGACGACCGAGCATGCACCCTTGCACACTCGGCGCTCAGCCTGGCCAGTGGCTGGTGGCAGATAATCCAAGTAAGACTCTCCTAGCCCGTCAGATGAGCGTGAAGTCAAACCGTGATACGATTCTCCCGCGCGCGGCCTGGAATCCCGCCGTAACGGCGCCCCACCACCGCCCAACACAGCAGGGAGAAGCCGAGGACGAGGACAAGGACGGCGCAGCCGTCCATCATGCCACAAGCTGTGCGGCTCGCAGCAATCCCCCTTTTTCCGTGGTGGAGTTTCCCTTCCCAGCACTCAAACCCAGATGGACGCCCGGCGGTGTCCTTGTTCTTCGGCGGCGCAGAATCAGGTAGGAGGGGCCCCAGCGACGGAAACTATGATCGATGATGATGGACGAGGACGGGGGACGCGCACGGCGCCTGGCCGCGACGAAAGCGAAGCGACGGCTCCCACGGGATCTGCTGGGGCGCGCCCACGGACCTCACACATCGAGGCCACAGGCGTCCTCGGGATCAGACGTGCACGTATAATGAGCAGTAGACGGGATGTCGACGACGTGGCTCCGGTGACAGCGCAGCTCTGCAGGAGCGAGCCTAGCACCAGTGATGGCCATTTTCAAGCTGCATCACTGCCAGTACCCGGCGTGTCGCTGGGAGGACGGGCGGAGGGGTGTGAGTCCTGATGCGCGGCGGTGGTCTGGAGGTTCGCGAGCGCGGCTTCCCTTTCCTCCAGTTCGCGTTGCGTGGCAGCAAGTTCACGTTCGAGAGAGGAGACGCGCGCTTCGGTCGCACTTTCAAGCCGTGCAAGGAGATCTGGGGGAGCGTGCGGTGGCGCGACGATGAGGGGTGGCGAGATATCCGCCGGCGGATGTGGGGTGGCTGGACGGTGGAGCGGCGAAGGAAGTAACGTCGCCGGGACGGGCTCACAATCGGGCGAGAGGGGTAACGGAACCTCTGCAGGCTCCGGGTTTGATGGCGGAACGAGAGCCCCGTTGGGGATGTGCGCCGGGGGAAGAGGCCAATCCTCCTCGCGAAGCGACAGGATTGTCGTCTGCAAAGGCGTCGCGAGTTCCATGGACTGTTCACCGAGCTCGTCGGCACTTTCGGGCAGCTCGGGCGGCGGGCGCACGCCGAGGCGCTGATGCGGAGGCAGAGTACCTTGACCTAGGGGTCCCTCTACGACTTCGCTCTCGCCCGTCTTCCCAGCTTCAAGCGCCCGCGCGTCATCTGGAATGAGAGTAGGCGACACACGGGGTGACGGCACCGATGGTACTTTCAGATCTCCCGGCGAGACCGAATATCTCGTTCACGTACCGTCTTCACCCTCCTGTAATGGTGGCGGTGGCGCAGGCTGATGGTGGCTGAGGTCAAGTAGCGCCTGCCGAAGAGAGGTTATTTCTGCCTCCAGCTCTTGCTCCCGGCGGGCGCGTTCGCGGGTGATGGCATGTAGCTGCTCGCGCAGTTCTTGTTGGGCTCTGACAAGTTTGGGGTTCACGCGGGCGAATATGAGCATTCCACGAGCATCGGATAGACGGAAATCAGAAGCTGAAGTACCTGGTATGCTCATTGTCCGAATGAACCGCGGTGTCTGTAGTTGGACGGAAAGGCTTTGATGTGATACCGGGCGCGCTCTGAAAGAAAGCTTGTCAGGAATCAAGTACAAGTAGATAGATTGTAATACAAACTTGTGAGGGACCACGAGACACCGTCTTTTTCAGTTGTTTCCGTGCTATGACAAAGCCGTCGATCTCTGAGGCAAGGCGGTTGATATCTTGCTCTAGGCCTTTCACGGCGTTCGGTGGCCGATTCGAGTGGTACGAAGCCCCATAGGCAAGCAGCGCTATGTCGTCGTCTTGAACTTGTACCGCCCCATAACTTGGCGTAAGGGTGAACGGGGTAGGTGAAGATGGTACAGTGACTGGTAAGAGGCTGGGGCTTGAAGGAAGGTAATGATCGTCGCCCGCCGGATGAATCGGCGTTGAGACTTGCACTCCCACAGAGACATGACCTGGGGCTGTAGGCTTACCCGACGCCGCCTTGGAGCTACCCACCCTGTATGGGCCTGAGTTCCGCACCTCCTCAACCTGTCGATTGTGTCAACAAAATAGATGGGGTGAGTACTGGAGGAACCCACGCTTCGTCTTAGAAGTTCAACCTCGCGTTCGAGGGCGCGATTGCGCGAGGCGATCTGAGGTAGGACGGTGCCAGTGGTGACCGTCTCGTTCTCTGCCACATTGGTACAACAATTGCACCAGGTACCTAAGACCATGGCATTATGTTCTCTGCCATGAGGGCAGTTAGAACGAGTGCATGGCATAGGGAGCAGCGCATCCCTCGATGCCAAAGATGACAAAAGCATCTGGTGCCCACTGTGTGTTGCGCAAGCTTCTAGCTCCGCGTCTCGACGAGCAACCATAGCTTTGAGCATAAGGATCTCCGCAACTGCCTCTTCTTTCGTCCGTGCGTGGGCATGTCTTTCGTATGCCAACTGCTTCTGCAGCAGGCCAACCAGCGCGATGTACGAGGTGTCTTTCCCATTTTCGCCGGTGTTAAGTGCGCCTGACCCATCCTCACGGTCAGGGAGGATTTCTATAGGCCAAACAAGTAGACAGACAAAATGATCAGACATGAGTAGGCCCTCACAAATGATTGACCAACCAAGGGGACGTGGCAAGGCCATCCGCGGACAGGGCCAAGCGGAATAATCATTGGACCTCTCCACTGAGCATTTCGCAAAGATAGTAAAATGAGTGCTGAGGAAACTTCGATTCGACCCGCGCCCCAAAACCCTCTGTAGCAACAATGACACCCACCTTTTTCCAGCAGGATGGAGACAACCTCGCGCATGTCGTCCCTCTCCTTCTCGGCTCGTTTGACATCTTCCAAGTACAAGTCAAGCTTCTTGCTAAGCTTGTCCTTTGCGCTGCGCTCGGCCTTTATCTCAAGTCTATGCACATCACGCTGGGCGTCGAGTTCGTCCAGGGTACTCATGAGGCTAGCTTTAGAGTGCGCCAGCTTCGTATTACATTGTTGCAGTTCTTCGCGAAGCCGAGCGACCTGTTTCGTTCCTAAGCTCTGTGTAGGAAATCGAACGTTTCACATACGTACCTCCGCATCTTTTGTAGCCCCGTCTATATCGGTAGCCACAATATCCTGTCTGGCTGATCGAGGGTTTAATCCGGGTCCCATCCAAATCACAACAATCAGAAGATGAACGCGGATACTGATAAGTTAAGAGCTTGTACGACGGAGCCTCGACCAGTATATGTTCAATAGCAGACGGCACATTCAGATAGCCAATCCGTATAGCGAGTGGGGCGAAGCGAATGACTAAAGCGTTGTGGGCGACGAGTAACGGTAGCGAACAATAAGTAGCGCCCCTATTTCGCCCACAGCGGTAAACAAATCTGATCACGTGACTCTCATGAAATGGTTTCGGGCGCCTATTTTCTTTTACGCATCGTGACAGTATGCGTGCTAGCAGTACTACTAGCACTGGCAGCCTGAACGTGTGGGCTGTGTGGCGCTGGCAAGCTTATCATCTTCCGCGCTCGAGCCTGCATGGACGCAACATGGCTGGAATTATTGGCAGTAAGGACCGGTTTTACCAAAGTTTCGCAGCACTCGCAGTATTGCGACCGGTAGTACTAGTACTAGCAGCCCGAACGCATGCTTCCATGGCTTCGAAACACTGCTGCATATAAGAGCATATAACTAATATAATATAAGAAATAATATGCATGGCCTGTTCGACACATGCTACTACTAGCCAAGGGGCATCCAAAGTTCATGGCGAGATGGCCGAGCGGTCTAAGGCGCCAGACTAAGGCGGGTTACGACTTCATTCAGAATCGTAATGGTCAAAAATCTGGTCCGAAAGGGCGTGGGTTCGAATCCCACTCTCGTCAAAGAAAAGAGATTTTTTTGTGGGTTTCTGCATGAGAAAGCAAGAGGGAAAATGTTTTAGGGGAAAAACTGAGGATAAAGTGTGCAAGAGCTACGTAGTCAGTGACGATGCAGTCATACACAGTGTAGAAGCTCCTCTTTCAATTCTCTGTTAGTATATCGGTTAGTACACGCGCTTGTCATGATTGCATGCGCGCGAAAGCGGGGTTCGACTCCCCGACAGAGAGAATTTTTTCACAGTCGTTCATTTGTCGTTAAGTCACTCATCACTATCGTAGACCACGACGCCTTGCGCACCGGATTCGCATCCAGCCCAACTTTTAAACACTTTTGGTAGGACATACTCCACAATCCCCGCACGAACACCTATGATAGTACGCTAGTCCAGAGACTCACAAGAACGCGTGGGCCTGGATGGTCCAGATGTTTGCGTACCCTCCACCCTTCTTCACCAACTGCTCGTGGGTCCCGGTCTCAACGATGATGGATTGATCCATGTAGCTGCAGTGTACGATGATGCGTAAAATGAGAGATGTTCTGAATCTAAGAGTTACGCACAGTATGAGGTCGGCGTGGCGTGTCAAGTTGCCGAAACGGTGGGATGAGAAGAGCATCGTCTTGCTCCCTCGGAGCTCCCGGAGGCGGTTAAACAAGTCTGTGGCAAGATGCAGGTAAGCCCCTTACCGCACCAGAACGCCCGGGATCACTCACCCTGTTCTGCAACCGGATCGAGGGAAGCACTGGGTTCGTCGAAGAGGAGCAAGCCGACTTTCACATCGTCCGGCACCACAGAACGCATGAAACTCCTCGCACTAGGCGCGTTCAGTGTATTTCAGGGCTATTCGAATATGGACAAATCAAGAGTCCTACTCACACTGCAAGCCGCTGCATTTGGCCTCCGCTAAGAATGGACGTCCCGGAGGGCTTCATCGCTCCGGCATCCCGAACCGCGTTGTAGTCAATCTTCCGTCCGAAGAGCGTGGTGGTGCCTTCGGGTAGGCCTGCGTAGTAATCACGCACTGGACGATCTAAGTATGTGTCGAACCCATTTGGCAATTTCTCGATGAACTCTTCCGCTCCGCCAAGGCGCGCTGCCTGTCGCACGTGGGCATCGTCGCCCAACGCAGTCGGATCTCCCAAAGCGATGTTGTCCCGGATCTGTTAGGTATAAGATTAAAATGCAACCATACGAACTGGATTAAATAAAGGCACGCTTACCGATAAGGGAAAGTGGGTGTAGTCCTGGAAGAGGACAGAGATGGCTTGACGAAGATCTTTGAGCTTCAGTGTGCGGATGTCATGTCCACCAACGAATATCTGACCCTCTTCGGGATCATACAACCTGACAATGAGCTTTAGGATTGTACTCTTGCCGGAACCGTTGGATCCCACGATTACCTGTAGTGTTAATGTTAATAAGGAAACAATGCAAAGGGGTAATCACATACACAGAGCTGTCCGGGAAATACACGGAAAGATACGTCCCGCAAAGCATAGTTAGTGCTACCAGGATACTTAAATGACACGTGTCTGGGTGCATCGCTAAGGATGAGACTAGTTATAATCGCAGACTTAGGGCCTACCTGAATTCGAGAGCTACGCCCGACCGGATCTGCGCAATATCCTCGGGAAAAGGGATGGTGCCATCGGTGACCGTATTCGGAACGTTGGCTACTTCATACAGTCTGCGAACGCGAGCAAGCTGCTTGGCGAATGACCGGCCGGAATGCATTAGTTCGTATATGTTGTATGCAAATGCGTCCGTCGTTTCTTTGAGCATTTGGAGGGATGCGAGGGAGACAGGCATGTTAGCGGGATGTTGCACTGCACGAAGGGTGAATACGATCTGCAGACGAATGGGTGAGCGCTGACACTGCGAGAGGAATCGTCCATGATACCTGGGGTAACTCGCGCAGTGGATATTGCAACAACGCGAAAAAGCTGAAGGGTTTTCGCAGCCTTCCGTGATCTTGCCAATAGTGAAAAGCGCTATCGGCATCGCCAAGGCGGTGTAAAGCACTCTCATACTCTAAAGGGACAAATCGTCATTGCAAGAGATAGAGGGCGTGACATCTATATCACGTACCAGAGACGGCATATTCAGATAGATTGCCAGCTAGCAGCTCTTTACGATGCACTGTATCATGTACAAGACGCTGCAGCCCTTTCACCTTGAGATAATCCTTGTCAGTCGTCGTAGCAGCCCATACTACGTCATGTGGTAAGCGGCGTCAAGTAGTGCAATTTAGAGCACCAACCCTGCGGGTGCCAGGATAGTAGATCCAAACTTGAGATCCAATCGAAGGTTTGGGCTGTGACACTGATACCTCCGAGTAGCCACCCGTCGCGTTGCCCGTTCAATGTGTGCCCAAGGACCCAGATCTGTAGAAGCGCCTGCCCAATAGTCCGAACAAGAGTGATCGTCATGTACAGTGTTTCCCAGATGAGCGGCCACTGGCTCGAGTCGGATGTAACGTCGGCGAGTTGTTGCTGCACCACGGATGTGTCGTAGGTAGGTAGGTCGAGCCGTGCCCGTGCGCGGAAGACGTGTGCGTCGGACCAGTTCCGGATCCTCCATACAAGGGCGCGTATAGCATAACTCTCGGCAAGTTCGAGAAGGTACGAAAAGACGGAACATGCGATGCGGGCGAAGCATATGTAGACAAGGCGATCTTTGTCAACAGTACGAGTGTCGATCGCCACTTGCATCTGGAGATCGTGTTAACGTTTTACCGTTACTGGTATGGCAAGGAACGTCTACTCACTATTTTTAACAGTTGCGCCTGAAACCTAGATAACGAACAGGTTTTCGACATTCAGCGCCCGAAGATGGTGATCAAGAGTAGTGAGGAACGCACCATAGAGTCAACGCAGGTAAGAAGACCTTCCCGAGATCCGCGGACAAGAAAGAAACGAGGAGAATCGCACAGTTGGGGATAGCCACAATATCCTTGACCAACCGTCCAACAAATGGTAGGCATTCGACGACATCTGTGTATTGATCAAACAGCGACACACCCGGAACGTCACTGTGCTTGGTGGATTTTTCTTCGTAGTAGAGATCCCACACCCCTAGCCGCTGGTGCCTGACTCGTCGCTTGTCGGAGGGATCGAAGGTCCCTTTGCGGGTAGACGAAGCTGTGTGCCATCCAAACATGGTGGGTCTGCGGGTGTACGCCGGGAACCCAGGACAGACAACCACCTGGCTTTATACTAGGACCCCCGTGCTGCGGACGGTCCCTCTCAGCGCTAGGGGAACCGCCATCAACTGTTCTTTCCGCCGGAGGAGTCATCGGGTGGTTCAGAAGCACGTCGTAGCCAGAATGGGGACGTCGACTGGCCGCGGGCGCCAAACCACCGCGTGGGTGTTGTCCCAAATTGACCGTAGGCGTTGCAGGGCGGTGTGACCGGTGTCCACCTGGGTTCAAGTTCTCCGCCGCGTCCAAGTTCATTCGAATCTCGCCACAGGCTAATGTTCCGCTTGTAAAACTCCGCAAGCATAATACTTTGTCCCGACTCGACTCGATCACAACGCAAAGCACCTAGGCTTCTCGAGGGAGCTCGCCTGCTCCACGGAGACGACTGAGGCCAGCAACGCCTACACATAGATATTTTAGATGTTCGCATTGTCTCTGCCCCGCTTTCTAATTTCCGGCCTCGGTGATCACGGAGACGTTCATTGATCTACCGTCATTATGAGTAAGTAATATGAAGTGCAGGACAGGCGTTCAGTTCATACTCTCAGACCAAGTCAGTGTGGCAGGGGCCCAGGCTGCCGAAGCGGTGCGACAAAAAGAGCATGACCTTGTTCCCCCGGAGCTCCCTGAAGCGATTGGACAGGTCCAGTGCATGTGGTGAAAAATCCCGCGCTATTGCACGGATTGCTGATGTTGTCCTGGTGCAAGGCTCGTCGAAGAGTCATGCAGAGCACGGACGTTCAGGCGTTCTGTCATATCCAAAATATTGGGACCAGTGTGCAATCAGAGCTCCGTGTATGTTACTCTAATGGCGCTTACATTGCTAAACGTCGCGTTTATCGGCTCTCAACGTCAATGCCCCCATGGACTTGACGCCAGCCGACACCTGAACTGCGTTGTCGTCCCCCTTACGCCCAAAAAGCATGGCGTGGCCTTTGCGGGGTCCTGTGTAGTAGTCGGCCACCGGGCGATCGAGGTGGATGTCGAGCCCGTCTGGCAGTTTTTCAATAAACACTTCCGTTCCCCCTTGGGATACAACGGGGCGTATATAATACTCATTCCCCGCGGCGAGCGGATCGCTCACCCATTTTGTCGTAACCTGTGTCGAGCTGGTTAAGAGATCGCGCAGTAGCAGGGATAATTGGCTAGACGTACTGAGAGCGGAAAGCTCGTAGTCTTAGAAGAGAATGAACACAGCTTGCAGTACTTATACTGACCCTGTAGCCGCCCGGAGAATGCGCCGGTTTACGTGAGTCAGTTGAACCCTGAGCGATAATCCTGATCACCTCAAGCAGTCATTTATCGATCTGCCCGCGAAACGCATGTCCGGATGCCCAGGCTTACAAGCTGGCTTGGATAAGGACGCCGGCTAGCGTCATTATGGTGTGCGGTGCCTTTCAGGCGAGCAGCTACGAACGGGGGTTGGAAGTGACATCGCCAGAATGCTACTGCAGGTAATCGTCGAACGCGGGTCGAGCCATGCGCGGACGCGATCCTACAATTGACTCAAGACGTGATAAGCGAGCGAACGGGCGATACGAGCGGCGCAGGTGTGGAGAAGGTGGTCCTTGTTACAGTGCACATTGATTGCCATTTGCTTCTGGTGGAGGTAGTTAGCTCAGACGTCATTCGGACACCAGTCCTAGAACCTGCGCGCGATACCTGAAAGCAGCTATCCATTCAGTTAGTGGTAGCAACGGATGGGATAGACATATCATAGGGCTAACACAGGCTCCGATCTGCTACTAACCCGATTGCGAGGTAGAGAGCAAGCGTTACTGCACACATTGGTATAGACAAAATAT